TAATTTTTGAAGGGGTGACAGTTTTGGAATTGGAAGATCGGCAAATATCTATATGTGCAACATTGAGTTGTCCCCCCATACCCCTAGATACTATGAATAATGTGGAATATGTACTTAATAAATCAAATGAATTGATTTTTAGATAAATTCTTCTAATTGGTTAAAGACATGCAGTAGTCACAAGTTTGGTGCTTCTTAAAAAATATCAAAATCTGCAATTGTCACTAGTTAATTAACATATGTGTAACAATATCATAGATGGATCCTACCCTTAATCAGCCCATGTGGACAATTTCTGAAATCTTATTTGTAAAAGAATATCTTTTAATGAGTTGCCCAATTAATCCAGTTCCAGCCTCTGAAAAAAGTTTACTAAAAAACAATTAGTAAGCCTAAATCAACAGAATTTTGTGATATCTAATATTCAACATTGTTGTTATCAATTTTAATGCTTTGCTATTCTCTATTTTTTAAGAATGTTTTCCCAAATAACCATCTCATAAAAATTAAAAACGCGACTATATGTATATTAATAATTTTCATAACGTGGGGCATAAATTCCATTGGATGATCGACGTGGTGCATGAAATTCATCATCATTATTAATTCGTGATCCGTGAAACAAGTATATAGAGAAAATTAATAGTCAATTTTGGTGCAGAATTTTGCAAATCATTAATTGATTTTCCCAAAGCCCAAACTTTAATCCATAGTAATAGTTAACCTTCCTTTACATTTATTAGAAACAACAATATACTTGTAATACATGTACAAAATCTCAAGGTTTTAATTTGTCAAATTTTTTTAAAAACTTCCTTATAAACTATCTTTACTTCTATATGATGCCAAGCTGGATTCCCGCTTTAATTTTGTTATATAAATTCAAAATTTAAAATTTAATAGATGTTAAGATCATCTACTAAAGTCATTTTTATTAGGAAATTTTATCAATTTAAGTCAAAATTTTGAAAGTATTATGGATACTCAAATTGTAAAAATTAATGGAAGCATTATAATTTTTTTTTTATTTATTAAAAGAAAATGGAAAAATA